AAAAATAATTGACCGTAAAATCCTGCTGTTGGTTCATAAAGCTCTTAACATTTTAGGGCCAAAGTATATGTCTGACCAGCCACTACCAGATAAGCCATCCCGACCCCTCAGATCATCTGGGACGAGTCTTATTTCTCAATTTCTATATAGAACGCAGAAAACGAACCCGCATGCACGGATAAACTGAGAGCGGTCATTGCAGCAATTAGAACAGCAGCAGACTTGATGCACCACGTCAGCTTGTCTTGCTAATTAATTTAATACAGTTCTTGACTGTTGACAGTACAAATATAAATTAGTTTACTCGAGTGCTCCATTACATAAACTGTCTCTCAGACATTAAAATATTAGCAGAAACTATTCAATAATTCATATTTGGAAAATATTATTACAATTTAGAGTGCCTTTGAAGCTGACGTCCTGCCGGTTTAGCGTCCATGTCTCCTCACATGTCCATGAGTTAAAACATTGTTTTAATGCACAATAATAGACAGTACAACAAGCCTTGCTGTGAATACGAGACGTTTAAGTTCAATTTCAACATGAATTTATGAATCTTAACTCTGCCTTCAAGCAACTGTAACGTTAACAGTGAACAAACATCAGTCTCTGACATCAGATTAAAGGTTATGAACACTTAAGCGTAGTTATAGTATCTCGTGTATAACCGCTACGGAGATGTGAATACCAGCAGGTAATTTCACAAAAGACAGGCCGAGAACAGGCTGCTCCCTGCGGGCTGAGATGAGGCTGACCGTCCAGTCCTCTGCTATTGTTGCCTTTTGCTGAGGTGAAATGCATCCTGGGATATTTGGCTCGCACAAGAACGGCACAAGAAGTCTGCTCCGATGCATTTTCTGAGAAATGGGCAAATGTGTGTATTGTGACCGCTCTTTCCTTTGAATTGGAACAGTACTCAGGCTGCGACTCACAAGTCCAGTCAAGAAGGCATATCTAGAAAAGGCCCCTAAGTCAGGACCAAACAAGGCGACAAACTCCCAGAAGGCTGCAGACTCAGCTGCTTCAAAGTAAGACTCAAGACTTTCAAGCTGCCCTTAATTCATCCAGATGAAAGCATTAAGTGGATTTCTTTAATGATTTATTTCATAAACTGCACTGCAACTTTTATTCTTGTTTATTTTTTTAATGTCTTTCTTTAATAAATAGTTAGACTTTTCTTTTGTCTGATGTTGTAATAGTGAAACACTTTGAATGGTCTGTTGAAATGTGCTAAACACATCCTGGACACAAAGACATCGGTTTGAGAACCATAGATGTGAAGGAAGGGTCAGATGTAGCAAGAGTGAGAGTAAGACTCCAGAGAGAGAGCCAGCATCTGCCTGTCAATTGGACCCTGAACGCCTCACTGCGGCTGTAATTCTATTCATCTGCTGGTCAATGAGACACGTGGGAGCTCCAAGACCTTCAGGGACCCTCATTACAGCTTGGTAATAATAACCACTATGCACACGGCATATAACAAACAAACATAGAAGATTGTTAGCATCCCCGAGCGGCCTTGGGGAAAATGCGCCAATCATGAGTCCTGGATGAGGTTTTAAGGCAAGGCAAAGGCATGGCAAGGCAATTTTATTTGTATAGCGCTTTTCATACACAAGGCAGACTCAAAGTGCTTCACATACAATAAAGTGAAATAAAATGCAGGAATTAAAAGACAATTAAAAACTAAAATTATGAATTAAAATCTTATTTAAATTGTTTAATTAAAGGCAGAGGTTAAAAGTGCAATATAGGTAAAATTTAGCAGAAGGCGAAGCTAAACATAAAAGTTTTCAGTCTTGTTTTAAACGTGGTCAGAGTTGGGGCAAGTCTTAAATCTTCAGGAAGTTTATTCCAGCTGTTTGTTGCGTAGTAACTAAATGATGCTTTCCCATGATTTGTATTTACTCTGGGAATCACAGATTGGTGTCAGAAGATCTTAGTGATCTTGAAGGCTTATGTAGTGGAAGCATATCAGTGATATACTTTGGCCCTAAACCATGTAGTGATTTATATGTGAGCAGTAGGATTTTGAAATTAATTCTCTGACATACTGGGAGCCAATGTAAGGATTTAAGAATTGGTGTAATGTGCGCACATTTTTGGGTTTTTGTTAGAACTCTAGCAGCAGCGTTCTGAACAAGCTGGAGCTGCCTGACAGTTTTTTTTTGGAAGACCTGCAAGGAGACCATTACAATAGTCTACTAGTTATAAAGGCATGTACAAGTGTTTCTAAGTCTTGAGCTGACATGAGCCCTCTAAGTCGTGCTACATTTTTGAGATGGTAGTAGGCCGATTTTGTTACTGATTTGATGTGACTCTCCAAGTGTAAATCTGAATCCATAATAACCCCCAGATTTCTGGCTTTATTTGATGTTTTCAGGGACAGAGAGTGAAGGTGTTGGGTTACTTTAAACCTTTCTTTTTTAGCACCAAATACAATGATCTCAGTTTTGTCTTCAAACCAAAGCTTAATTTATTTTCATATTCTAATCACACCCTTCACCATCACTGACCAGTTAGTCATTTTCAGTATACTGAATTTGAAGAAAAGAAATCGCCTTGGCAATAAAGGAAGAAAAAGCTTTCTTTAGTTATGTTATCATCATTTTTTTTTTTAAATTACTAATCGGTCAGGCACCGGTTTTGTTTAAAAAAAATAATTTTTGCACCGGTATTGTAAAAAAACGGTAGTCACAACAATGGGAGACGCAGGTTGTTGTTACAGTGCAGAGTCATGCAGACGACATAAAAACAACCAGGTTCAAAGTATTACTTTATGATTTCTTTCTCGGTCATGATCGTTAATTCTCGTGAACAGTGATTGACACGTCATTGTAGGACGGAATTATCTTGTTTCCTTTCGTAAAGGATGGTCCAGTGGTTCCTATGCTGAAGAAGCTAAGTAAGGAAACATTGAAGCTTCTTTCCTTACCACCCAGAGACTTCAGCTCTACTTTTGCGCCATTTAACTCAGTTAGGAACCTTCCTACGCAAAAAAAGATTCAAAAGGAATAGCTATGAACATGAACTCACAACTAGTTTAAAGATGAATTAATAGTACACAAGCTTTCCAGTTGATACGTCACTAAAGTTGCTCATGGTTCTGTTCTTTGACAAATATTTTTTTAATTACTACAAACATGTCTCTGCCTCATCCTTAAAGTACTTAGAGTACTTTAAGATTGTTAAACTGGTGTTTGCTGGGGTGTAATTATCCAGATGTCACTGCTTGTAACCTTCCTTTTTTTTCCCCTTAAAGCCCCGTCACACTAATATATGTACATGCAATAGGAAGTTATACTCAATTTTAGTGAGCTAGAAAGTGGCATAGACATTTTATGTGGAGGATAGGATATGTGGATAACAATGATTTCCGTGGTACTGAGTACGGTACAAGTGTCCCGTTTAAAGTTGTAAAGCTGAGACAACCATGACGATGTTGTATTGGATATTTTTGCGTACTGGCAACCCTGCACTTTGACAAGAAAGCTTACCTGAGAGTACCCAATGACCTTGTTGAACGTATTAGATGAACTGTACAGGATAATCACAGCATCACATAACCTTTCAAGCACAAACTAGAAACCAAGAGCATTTGTAGACTGCATGGTTTCCCATACATGGAAAGTTTACACATGCAAAGAGCTTTTTATCAAATTGACAGAAAGAATGCAATTCAATTAGTTCTGGATTAGTCAAGTCATCAATGTGAAACAGAGGAGCTATACACATTTATGTCAATCAGTATGAGAAGTTTTCTCAATTTGTTAGAACATGAAATAAAAGTAATTGTCATCAGAATTTGTCGGTTTCAGAGCTCTTTCCAATATATTTTTAGAAAACAACATGTTTTCCTCGGACAGGAAGTCAAATATTATACTTTTTATCGTAATTCAACAAGGTGTCTTACTAAGTTAATAAACATTACTTTTGCTGTTTCCAATTTTCCTCCATTTTTTAAATCAAAAGGTGTCAGAAAGGTTCATTGAATTTTACAAATATGTTTTCATTATGCCATTAAAAATCTGTCAATTAAATCCTCCTATGGGTTTCATTTTTATTGTTCTCAAAACTGAAAAAGATTTCATGATTTTCCAAATGATCATTATGGTGTCTACAAGTTGGACTGGGGGAAGTTGGCTCTATATTTGAGGTTTTAGAATACCTGTAACCTCACGCTGTTTCCCCTCTCCAATGCGACGGAAGACTGATGCACTAAAGAACCCCCCAACCGCTGTCAGGACCATATTCATTCTGAATCACTTGCCCAATAAAAGAAGGTTAAACTAATAAATAATATACTTACGCTAACACAATGTAATATATTTGGTTAAACATTTCTCTGCTGCCCCGATTTTCCATTCGGACTATTAACGACCACATTGACTTTAAATTGTAAAACTTCCTGCCCATGGTCTTTTAAATTAAAAATACTGATGTAAGACATTTCATTGACTACCTTTTGGGAGTAAACACAACAGAACATTTTTCTGTTTTGGTTTAATGATGACAGATAATAAAATACTTAGGAGGATAGGATGTTGGTTCTTTTTTTCCTTTCAGATAAACAATAAATGAGTACACAATATGTTTTGAAAGAATAAGTGCAAACAAAAAACTGAAGTCAAACGTGTCAAACGCATGCAGCAAAAGCATTTAGTGTCATCTGAATAATATTTGTTACCCTTTTCTAACACGGGATGAACAACGACGATGCCGGTTGCTCACAGGTTGCTGAGCAACAGTTGACCTATTAGCATTCGTGAGCCCGCAGCTGACAGACCAAATAAAAGCATCTGCGGTTGCCTCTTCTGGTCCGAGCCGGGTGAGGGAGGCCTGTGATTTCAAAATGAGCCCTGGAGCTGCTTCACTCTGAATCCAAAAGTTAATGTCAGATGTTAAGCTCTAACAACAAATGGCTCTAGGACACTTGCTGAAATGCTCCAATGTTATTTTAATCAGGGAACTGTTTGATGAATCAAGATTAAATGAAAACATCAAGGAAATGGAGACTTTATATGTTGGATACCTCTTTAAAAACTGTTCATAGTAAAATAATCAGAACTATAGATGTTATTGTCATTGTGATATAAGATTGATCTGTTTTTAAGGATTGTGTTAACTTTTTATGAATATACCTGTGGCGAGTAAAGACCTCTGTTATTGCCACAAGACTGATGAACTATGGAGAACATCACTTCTGTTGGGGATATTCTAACCTTGGAGAGGTTAAAAATCACCACAGAGTCTTCCGTTCCTGTCTTTGTTGTCCTCCTCCTCATCTACATCTTTATTGTGGTGTCCAACATCGGCCTGGTGGTGCTGATCTTCAGAACCAGGAGCCTCCAGCAGCCCATGTACCTGCTCCTCTGCAACATGAGTATTAACGACGTGTTCGGGGCGACGATCGTCGTCCCCGAGATGCTTAGAGATCTGTTAATCTCAGACTCGGAGCGGCTCGTCCGTTACGCTGACTGTGCCGTTCAGGCCTTTTGCGTCCACCTGCATGCGAGTGCTTCCCACACTGTGCTCATCATCATGGCTTTTGACCGCTATGTGGCCATCTGCAGGCCGCTGCGGTACGCCGGCGTCATGACCAGTGGGACAGTGGCAGTGCTTTCGGCGTCAGCGTGGGGGACAGCTTTATTGATGGTGGCAATCCTGGTGGGACTCAGCGTCCGCCTGTCACGCTGCAGGTCGGTCATATCCAACTTGTTCTGCGACAACGCCTCCCTGGTCAAACTGTCGTGTGAAAGCGTCCTCACCAATCAGGTCTACGGCCTCGGCTACACAGTGGTGCTGCTGGGCTCGTCCATCGGCAGCGTGGTGCTCACCTACCTGAGAATCGCCGTGGTGTGTCTGCGCAGCAAGAACAAGTCTATGAATGGCCAAGCGCTGCGGACATGTGGAACCCACCTGGCCGTGTACGTCATCCTCTTGGTGTCCGGGTTCCTCATCGTGATCCTGCACCGCTTCCCTCAGCTGGCAGACCACAGGAAGGTGGCGGCGGCCATGGGACACGTGGCGTTGCCGGCACTGAACGCCATTATCTACGGGCTGCAGATTAAACAAGTCCGGCAGAAGATCATGACTTTGATACAGAAAAAAAAAGTAACTTTAAATGTCTGATTATGCCATGTGATCAGATGTGAAACATGCAAATGTTATTGCAGAGGATGCTTATTGAAAATATTCATGTTTTAAGTGTATGATGGTCATGGTTGTGTTTCAGCAGATTAGAAGTATAAATTAAGGGGTAGGAAGTTAAATACATCAAATTGTTTTAATGTATATCTGTTTTTATATATTATTTACATATTTAAATCTGCAACTAAACCTAAATATATATATACTGTATGTGTCAAAACGTGTCAAAACGTGGTGGTGAAGACAATCTTTAACAGATAATGTGAATATATATATATATATATATATATATATATATATATATATATATAAAATCTATATTCATATATTATCTGTAAAGGATTGTCTCCATCGCCAACATCAAGTTTTGACACATATGGGTAATATAAATCTCCTTTTATATATATATATATATCTGTTAAGAACAAATTTTGACACATAGGTGTCAAAACTTGTTGGTGGTGAAGACAATCCTTAACAGATAATATATTAAATGTCTGATCCTTCACATACTGACCTTTTTGACTATAAAAATGAATGTGTAATCAAATAATACTATTTAATAATGCTCAGAAAAAGTGCATAGATTTTATAATGACATTATCAACAGTTTATTAAAGCATGACAGTGTTCCATATCCACCTGTTTTGTTTTCCAAATACACAAAATGTTGAAAGTGTTCACAGTGAACATATAAAGAGGTGGAATTGAAACATGTGACTCAAAGTTACTGTATGGCAGCTTTAAAAAAATCTCTCTGTGATACATTATGTCTACAGCTCAGTAAAAACTTTGAGAAAGAAATCAACAGTTAAAGCGTATTAACGTACGCTAACAGAGTAGGTTTCCTCGAGGATTTCAGGAACAACTGAGCTGTCAATAAACTGATATCAAAAAACAGTCCAAAGTGAAAAATGAAAAGTATCTTAAAGCTGCAATCTTCCTACAGTCCACAGCCATTCTCTGGTTGTCTATGAAAAAATGACTCTACTTCTCTCTTGATTTATTTACTCAGTAAACATTAGTTTATGGTCTCAATCTCGAGTTTCATGTCTTCTTCCACAGTCTTTATTAGAGACCTGTCAATAAGCGTTTAGCCTTTCCCTAAAGCACACTACTTTAAACTTTAGAACTCTAAATGGATAATTAAATCCATAAAAAAACTCAAATGGCCGTACGTTAAAAGCAGTATATTTAAAGTGAATGTGAACATTAAAAGAGAAAAGATTTGAAAAAGCAAGAAATTGTCAGTGGCGGCCCTGGATTTATTAATGAGTCCATCTGCAGACAGGATGAAAAAGGTTTTGATGATGATGATGAGGTCTTGGTGCTGATGGACCGCAGCCGACTGCCAGAGGGACGGGACCCAAACTGTTGGTGTACAGGGTGAGAGCGGCTGTTGCCTCCTCGGAGTGCTGGATGTGAAGTTGTGGAGTGACGGCAGATTGAAGCCAATCAATCTGCCGATGATACATCATATTTCACTGTGGCCACATTCTTTGAACTGAGTACCAAACATATGTTATATGAATGGAGTTTTAATAGTAAAATAAACTCAATAAGCATGCTCAGAATTTTCTTTTCCTGTGTTTGGCTGATTGTTGAGTAGCCTTTAGCTTCCTCCAAAGTGGGGAAGGTGTGTAAACAGAAGTGCTTTCCTCTTTTTTACAGACTTCACACTGACAGACTACAGATTCAATAAGCTCAGACAATGAAAATTGTTGTTGTTTGTGACAGATTGAAAAGTTGGTGTCCAGGCAACGACCAGTGATGCAACCAAGCTCAAAGCTCTGCGGGTCTATGGCTCTACTTATAGAAGATTGTCGGGTCACTTAAGCTCCGAGTAGAGCAGGTCCATGTCAATAGGTGAGTGTGTGTTAAATGTGGAAAGACAAGCCCTCGTCATCTAAAGCCAGTTAACATAATTTTATCTCCACTCAATTAGTGCAACATGATGTTTAAATCTGTTAGTACAACATTCTATCCTTCTCATTAGCTGTTAATCAAGCTGTTTAAAATGAAGATGACAATTTTACTATTGTTTCATGCAGCCTGTTCTGTGGTTGTGTTAACAAACAAAAAAGATTTGTATTTTGAAACATGAATGTCTTGTGATAATGAATTGGATTTAAATGCGGTAGTTTTGATATTCACTCTAAACTGATTTTTCTAATTCAAGCGTCATTCTCCTACATTTTCATTCAACCATGTTTTACTGTTTGACTATGGCCCATTCCCATAGTAGTTTATGTTTTGATAGAATTATGGGATATCCGTTTTGATTTGTCAACCATCAACGTTAAATAAAACCACTCATTTAACCATATCTCTCATTGTAATCATAACAATTTCACAGTATTTCTTTCTTTCATCGTTTTACTTTATTCCCATCTTCATAGTTAGGGGAGTAATTAGTATCTTTCTGTTCATTTAAAGGGCTTTTCTTTATAATTGGTACAGCAAATTAGTTTTTGCCTAAATATTGTTGATGTTTTAATGTTTTTTAAATTATTTATTTGGCAAAAAAAGCAGGAGGATTTCTACTCTTGTTTTGTGAGTTCCGAGCTGAGATTCAAATATGAACTTTTATCTATTTATTTATGATTGTTTTAACTAAATCCAGGTGTGTTTTTGCAACTAACAATATAATATTGATATATTATATATAATAACATTTCTTTGCATGGAATTATTAGAATGACAATCAGTCATTTGAGTTTAACATAACAAAATAAGGTACTGTTAGTGTACCACTTTACAAATTCGAAGAGTGATTTTGTGTTAGAAATGTATGAATATATGAGCTGCTTTGACTATTTTATGTGAAATGAGACAATATTTTAGAACTGTAGGGAATTTATGTTTATCATTTTCTAAACACTGTTATCTCCCTTCTGATCTTACAATAAAGTAAAGTTCTATATTTTGTCTCTTTCACATCCTCATTAAGCTTGCATCAACCGTCTGCACAATGGAGAACCAGACATTAAATGCAGATGTTCTAATCCTGGAAGGGTTAAAGGTCAGCCCAGAGTCCTCCCTTCTCATCTTTGTCTTCCTCCTGCTCATCTACATCTTCATCATGGTGTCCAACCTCGGCCTGTTGGTGCTGATCACCACAGAGAGGAGCCTCCAGCAGCCCATGTACCTGCTCTTTTGCAACATGAGCATTAACGACACTTTCGGGGCGACGACCATCATCCCTCGTCTGTTAAGCGACCTTTTTCATCCGATCGCAGAACGCTACATCCGCTACGCCGATTGTGTCCTCCAAGCCTTCTGCGCTCACTTCAATGCGAGCGCCTCCCACACGGTGCTCATGATTATGGCCTTTGACCGCTACATGGCCATCTGCAACCCTCTGCGATACGCCGCCATCATGACAAACCGAATGGTGGGGGTGCTGGTGGCGGCGGCATGGGCGGTAGCCTTTTTGATGGTGGTGATCCTGGTGGGGCTCAGCGTCCGCCTGTCGCGCTGCAGGCGCGCCGTGCTCCACCCGTTCTGCGACAACGCCTCCTTGTTCAAGCTATCATGTGAGAGTGTCCTTGCCAACCAGGTCTACGGCCTGGGCTACACGGTGGTGCTGCTGGGCTCGTCGCTCGGGAGCGTGGCGCTCACCTACCTGAGGATCGCCATTGTGTGTCTGAGCAGAAAGAACAAGTCTCTGAACGGCAGAGCACTGCAGACCTGCGGCAGCCACCTGGCCGCGTATGTCATCATGTTCGTGTCGGGCTCCGTCATCATCGTTCTGCATCGGTTTCCTCAACTTTCTGACCACAGGAAACTAGCGTCCATCTTGTTCCACGTGGTTCCTCCCGCCATGAACGCCCTCATCTACGGACTGCAGATCAAAGCTGTCAGACAAAAGATTGTGGTCATGTTTACCAGGAACACAGTAGGTTAAATGACTCAATAGGGAATCTTATGGAAATGTGTAATCCCTTTCTTATTATTTTCTTCTTCTTTCTTCTTATACTTAATGTATTCCATCTCAAAAATCAATTCAGTAATAAAAAACTGAGGTAATGATGGCAAATCGTAAAAATTATGTTTACATGAATATTTCGCCTTTTTTTCTCAACAAATTTTTCCAAAGATCTGTAATTGTGGAGGAAAAACAGAAAACTAATTCACAACCTGTATCTACAACCAAATAGTTAAGACACATAAATTACATTTAACTGGGAAAGGTATTTGAATTCATGAATAATGTCCTAAAACAGATTTTGCAACTGGATTGTTGTCAAAATGTGTTTTGAAATATAGTTTTACCGATGCAAAGTTCCTTTTTAACAACATTGCATTACATGTCATTTAGCTGACGCTTTTATCCAAAGCAACAATAAGTGCATTCAACCATACCAATTTGCTATAAGTATATTGTACTTAAAATGGCACTTAAGTGCTACAATTTGTTAGTCCTTTAGTCAAGGTAGATTTGACTAAAGGTGTGTCTTTAGTCAAATTTGAGGTGTGTCTTTAGTTTGCGGCGGAAGATGTGAAGGCTCTCTGCTGTCCTGATGTCATCACCAGCACGTTCCACCATTTCGGGGCAAGGACAGCCTTGCGACAGTTGTGATCTAGTCAGTGAGGGAGGGACAAGCAGTTTAGCAGATGCAGAGGGGAGTGCGCAGGTTGGGATGTAGACTGGACCCGATCCATTCACAGCATGGTAGGTGAGCGCCAATGTTTTGAATTGGATGCTGGCAGCCACCGGTAGCCAGTGAAGAGAGTGGAGGAGTGGAGTAGTGTGGGTTAAATATTATAAAGAAAACACTGGACATACACTGGAAAAGCATCTAGAAATCACCTAGCAATGTTATACATCTACATAATGTATTGATTATTTATTTCATAATTTATTTACTTTTATTATTTAAAATCAATAAAAAAAGTGTATAATCAACACTTTAGTCACAAGAGTGAATCACTAGTTCATAATTATATTATAATAATGATATTTTATTATTTACAAGAAATCCTCCGGTTACTACTCCGATATTGATTGACGTTGCTTGCTTGCAACAACATCGCACGTTCAACATTTTACTGCTTTGAGGATTATGCTGTATTGCATTCAGGACAATATTGATTCTGTGGACTTTCAATGATTGCATGTACATCAAAGGAAAATATTGCACTACATGTCCCGTGATAACGAGTGGATTGGGTGGACAGGCTGTGTCGTGCTTTCAACATAGCGCCTCTCAATAAACAATTTGTGGAGAATGGATGATGTGCATCATGATATTGTTGAAAAGGAACCAGCAGAAATAAAATGTGATGCCGCAGAAAAAAGAACAAGAAAGTTCAGGTTGAAAGGAATCTCAATGGTGATGTAAATGCTAATTTGTACAAGCAGGCAAAATAAAGACTAACATCACAACACTCTTGGCTTCCAAGAAAAATGCCTCTCTTGTCCAACAAAATCTCAGACCCTGAGGGGCCTTTAAATGTTAAAAGGCCTATGTCAAAAGGCTTCTGAAATCTACACATTGCTCACTGAGTTTCCTCTACCTGAGGAGGAGCAGAGAAGGCAGGATGCATGGTTTCATCCAAAGAAAGCTGTCTATGATATATTTATTGAAGAAATATCCACATGGCTGAAAGAAAACAAATTTGTAAGTAATGATGACGTTGACAATGATGATTATGAAAATGCAAAATCTGAGTGCCAAGATACCATTAGACCCGGGGACGGTGTGTCTAATTTGTCAAGCAGAAGAAGTCAAGGTAGAAGTATTTCATCTGCATGTATAATGGCTAAGGCAGAGAAAGTAGCTTTAATGGAGCCTAGTTTCTGTTCTGCAAAAGAGACATGACTTCGAGGCACAAGCGGACAAGCTAAGAAAAAGGAACAACTGGAGCTTGATACACAGATAGCTGCTGCTGCTGCAAGATTTTGTGTTGGAAGGCAGTGACGTTGGAGGAAAGGCACATTCAGATGGAATGAATTCCTAAGCCTCCACAATGCCACACTTTTCATCTACACGCATTATGCGACCAAAATGAATACACAAGCAGATTTACAGGACCAAGTACAATGGCATGAAACCGCAGAAACAAAAAATATCAGGCTACAGATGCAGCCAAATACCGGATTGACTCATACAACCACTCCAAGGCTGGAGTCTCAGAATGTGTACACCCTCAGCAGCTGCAGCCCTCAGGACTGTAGCTACACAGGAACAAGATCTACACAGGCTTCACTAGGGCAACATGCATTTGACCAGGATACACTTTGTGAAATCATGCAGAATGAAATCACCACAATGCTTGTACAACAGCAAATGCCAGCTTCTTTACCACAAAAAGACATAATCGTTTTTGACGGTGACCCATTAAAGTATATTTCCTTTTCCCATTAGAACATTTGAACATTGTATTGAAGAAAGTACCAGCCGTTATCAAGATTGTATTATTTTCTTGAGCAATGCACCAGGGAGCAGCCTAGAGAGCTGGTGCGAAGCTGCATACATATGACACCACAACAAGGATATCAAAGAGCAAAAGGACTTTTGAAAGAACATTTTGGCAACAAACACAAATAGCAATAGCATATATGGATAAAGAATTTGGATGGCCCGTTAAGACCGAGGATGTTCAGACACCATGTCCTCCCTGAGAAAGACACCTAACTCCTAATTGCTCCCCGGGCAAAAATGTAAAAAGCCATGGGTTAAAGATGTAATGTAAGTCGCTTTGGATAAAAACGTCAGCTAAATGAACTGTAATGTAATGTAAGCTGGACCCAATCCATTCACAGCATGGTACGTGAGCACCAATGTTTTGAACTGATACGGGCAGCCACCGGTAGCCAGTGAAGAGAGCGGAGGAGAACAGTAGTGTGGGAGAATTTCAGAAGGTTAAAGACCAGAGCTGCTGCATTCTGGATGAGCTGCACGGAGGTAGCGGAGAGAACTGCCAGGTGGGAGTTGCAGTAGTCCAGGCAGGAGATGACAAGAGCCTGAAGAGGAGGTATTCTCCTTATGTTGTAGAGCGTGTATCTACAGGATCTTGTTGTTTCAGGGAGAGTTGGCTGTCGAGTGTCACGCCGAGGTTCCTAGCAGGCAAAGTGGGCGTTAACACAGAATTGCCAAAGTTAACCCTCAAGTCCTGGGTCGGAGAATCTTTTTCCGAAAGAGAAGTAGATCAGTCTTGTCGGGGTTGATCTTCAGATGGTGAGTGTCCGAGTGAGGGAAGGAGAGAATTAGTTTGGTGTCATCGGCATAGCAGTGGTAGGAGAAGCCATGCGAGCGAATAACAGCGCCGAGGGAGTTGGTGTAGAGCGAGAAGAGGAGAACCAGGACGGAACCCTGAGGAACTCCAGTAGTAAGAGGACAAGGTTCCGACACAGATCCTCGCCAGGTTACCCACTAGGTGCGGCCGTCGAGGTACGACGAGAGAGCAGAGTCTGGGACACAGAGAACACAAGTTCCTGAAGGGAGAACATAAGGATCAGGGGCCTCATTTATAAAACCTTGCGTAGGATTTGCGCCAGAAGTGGCGTACGGATGAAACATAGGACGTGCATACGCACAGAAATATTCAGACTTATAAAACCGTGCGCACGCACTAAATCAATCACTTCTAAATGCAGCGCAGCTTTTGCGGCTTCATGTCACGCCCACAGTTGCCCATATATAGTCTGTGGAACGCCCACAAATTAATATTCATCGATTGCAAAATCATGGCAAACACTGAGAGGAAAAGGAAGAAACATAACTTCACTCAGTGTGAAGTCAAAATTATCATCGGCGAGGTGGAAAGGAGAAGTAAAATGCTTTTTGGAGGGCACAGTATGGGCATTACTAATGCCAAAAAGGCACTTGAGTGGCAAAAGGTTGCACAGCAACGCTGCAGCCTCACAACCTCGGACTGTGGCCGAAATAAAGAAAAAATGGTCTAACATCAAAGTGGATGCAAAAAAGCGTATAGCGCGCCATCGCCTGTGTTCCTGCCACGGGTGAGGGAAAGGGGACACCGGAGCTGTCCCCTCTTGATGAGAGACTGGCGGCAATGATTGGGGATCGGGGACAGGGTCTGGGCCAACATCGGCGTCAGGGGGGTCGAGGCACGTTTGGAAGCTGGGCCACATTACGTAGCACAGCACATGCCAGCACGATTTTGCACACCTTTTCAGGAGTAGACAATAACCTCCCTCCAGTGCAGTCGAGGCAGCGCCATCTGCCCTTAAACAGGCCGATGGTGCGCTGCACTACAGCGCGAATCCTTCCATTTGCCACATCTTCTAAGAGCGCAAGATCAGCCATTTCGCATCATTACACATTGTGATGGCATCATGGCATTTTATTACCGTCCATTTGATTGCATTTGACAAGCAACAGCTGTGTTTTGAGGATGAATTGCATCACATGCCAATATCATTGCAGAACATACATACAACTTTTCTTTTTGAAAATGTGTTAATTTGTTTGTTTAACGCTGCAGATCGATCAAACGGGTGTTCGTGTTATTTATGAGAGGCAGTATTGGCATTTCATTTACACAACAGTCTAGTTTTACACACGTTTGCGTGTTTCTTGCATTTGCCGACGGTTCTCATTTCACCCGTTTTTGTGCGTACGTATGGGTCCGAGCTTGCGTAAAAGACTGCACATTTTTCCGTCAAGTTTTCTTTTTATAAATACCAATTATTGCGTAGAGAGCGGCGTACGCCTTCTTTTGTGCGTACACAACGTTTATACTCCTGGTGGTTAACTGTCAAATGCAGCAGAGGTTTAGAAGGATGAGGACAGAGGAGAGAGAGGCGGCTCTAGCAGTGTGGAGTTGCTCTGAGACAGCAAGGAGAGCAGTCTTTGTGGAATGGCCTACCTTGAAGCCTGACTGGTGGGGGTCAAGGAGGTTGTTACGGTGGAGATAGGAGAGTTGGTTAAAGATCGTACGTTCAAGAGTTTTGGACAAAAAGGGAAGAAGAGAGACCGGTCTGTAGTTGTTTTCTTCAGAAGGGTTGAGGATAGGTTTCTTCAGGAGTGAGTTAACTCTTGCACAGCCATTTTAAGATCTCTCATCATCGAGGATGTCTCTGTACATTGCTGCATTCATATTTCCGTCAATCCTGAGTCTCTAGTCTCCCAGTTCCTTCCGCTGAAAAACATCCCCACAGCATGATGCTGCCACCACCTTGCTTCACTGTAGGGATGGTATTGGCCAGGTGATGAGCAGTGCCTGGTTTCCTCCACACATGACGCTTGGCATTCAGGCCAAAGAGCTCAATCTTGGTTTCATCAGACCAGAGAATTTTGTTTCTCATGGTCTGAGAGTCCTTCAGGTGCTTTTTTGCAAACTCCAGGTGGGCTGTCATGTGCTTTTTACTGAGGAGTGGCTTACGTCTTGCTACTCTACCAAACAGGCCTGATTTTCGAGTTCGACTAAGTGTCACGGTGCGGTTCTCGGTGGACCCCAAAATGCAGAGACAGGAGACGAGATGGTCTTCAAAAGGTTTAATCCTCACAGCAGGATACACAAAAACACAAGGCGCTGGAAGCGGAGGAGACGACGGAGGTTGAGCTGGCTGGGCTGGCGTCGAGCACGGGAGAAGAGAGCCGGGAGCCACGAGTTGCAGCGGGTACGAGCGGGAATACTCTGGCACCGGAGTGACGAGCAGAGCCTGTCTTTATGGCACAAGTGATTAGGTGGGATGGGAACCAGGTGTGTCTCGTTCAGCACCAACCTCGCCCTCCGCCGTCTCCTACTGCCAGGGAAATGGAAGAACACAAAAAACAGCTGCAGAAATCTTTCTGTACCTTTCGCCAGATCTGTGCCTCAATACAATTCTGTCTCAGAGGTCTACAGATAATTCCTTGGACTTCATGGCTTGGTTTATGCTCTGATATGCACTGTCAACTTTGATACCTTACTGTATATAGACAGGTCTGTGCTTCATGTCCAATCAACTGAATTTAGCACAGGTGGACTCCAATCAAGTTGTAGGAACATCTCAAGGATGATCAGTGGAAACCGGATGCACCTGAGCTAAATTTTGAGTGTCATGGCAAAGGCTGTGAATACATGTACATGTTATGTTTTCGTTAAACATAACGTATGTAAATACAGATTTGCAAAAATTTGCAAAAAACAGTTTTCACTTTGTGAATTGTTGTTGTGCGTACAATGTTAGAATTTAATCCATTTTGGGATAAGGCTGTAACATAACAAAATGTGAAAAAAGTGAAGCGCTGTGAATACTTTCCAGATGCACTGTATTTTAATACATAAATAAAACATTTATTTAGCCAGCATCCATCCATCCATCCATTTTCAACCGCTTATCCGGGGTCGGGTCGCGGGGGGAACAGCTCCAGCAGGGGACCCCAAACTTCCCTTTCCCGGGCCACATCTACCAGCTCTGACTGGGGGATCCCAAGGCGTTCCCAGGCCAGTGCAGAGATATAATCTCTCCACCTAGTCCTGGGTCTTCCCCGGGGCCTCTTCCCAGCTGGCTGTGCCTGAAACACCTCCCTAGGGAGGCGCCCAGGGGGCATCCTCACCAGATGCCCAAACCACCTCAACTGGCTCCTTTCGACGCAAAGGAGCAGCGGCTCTACTCCGAGCTCCTCGCGAATGGCTGAGCTTCTCACCCTATCCCTAAGGGAGACGCCAGCTCCTGAGGAAAGCCATTTCGGCCGCTTGTACCCGTGACCTAGTTCTTTCGGTCATGACCCATCCTTCATGACCATAGGTGAGGGTAGGAACGAACATTGACCGGTAGATCGAGAGCTTTAGCCAACAGTTGGCTGCTAAATAACAGTTAATCAAAAAGGTTATTAACTACTTAAATGTTAACCTTTAATGCAACTATAACTTATGAGTTAGTTAATGACTAGAATAAGGCAACAGAGTAGTTAAAAAATCTGCTCATTTCAGATTTAGTTTTTGTGCTTGATTCTTTATTCACATCTGACAGGTGTGGCAGTATGCAGTGATTAGTCCTAATTACTGGGTTTCTTTCCCAGTCAGTACGATGTGGTCACGGTGTTGAGGTCTTTGGTTGGTAACACAGCAGCAGGTCTGAACCTCATCAGAGTTCTCCCAATGGACTCTCGTAGCTCCTTGTTCTTCAGACTGTAGATCATTGGGTTTAGGAAAGGAGTGAGTGCAGCGTACATCACTGACACGATGATACGAACCTATAACAGAATTATAACAGATAATTTAGAGAACGCACCATGTATTTATTTCTATCTTCAGTTCCGATGGAAGACGAGGTTGGTCAGTCAAAATACTCACAATGGCAGCACTTGGCAGGTATAATGTTTACCATGTCCACCATCTTATTTCAGGGTTTTGAACGCTTCAACTTTATTTTTTAATATCATGTGTGAGATGCATGTAATGGCAAAACATGTTGTAACATTTGTCTTGTGCTAAACCCGGGTCTCAAGTGTCTGTATTTGACCGTTATGTGCAAAGACAGAAAGATTTAAGGTTTGCAGCTGTGTCTGAAGAAGGGAGTTCTTGCTCTCACAGAAGCTCGAACAAAGGAGCAGTGTGTGTTACCCTCATCTTCACCTGGGTTCTTATCTCAACTTTTGTAGCTTCTCGTAACTGGCACTGAGGATGGTCTTTATGAGTATAAAAACTCAGCGTTTTTACTGCTCGGAGACGCCATTACACCGAGCGCTGAAATACGTGGTTGTGTGTTTGACCTCCTGCTTATAAGCAATAGTTAGAGCCAGATATCTGCGGTAATATTCTTCTCTTCTAAATAAATGTTAACTTTTTGACTTTTTGACTCATCAACCAACTCGGGGGGATCGGAGATCCCGACACATGCCATATAAAAACAAAATGTACTAATGATGCTATTGAAGCAGGGGTGCCCGGAAGGTCCATGGCCAAGGCAGTGCCACTGGATTACCTGCCATTGGAAAAAAATCACGTCAGGTCCCCACATATGCACAGTCAATCACCGTGACTTAAAAAAAGTCTGTCAAGCCAAAAAGGTGTGACCAAAATTTTGCTGCAATCTGTCAAAAGATATAGATAGTAGATATTTCAGTCAGGACAAAATCACTGAACCAATGGACATTTTAGATTTTTTCAATCTATTTTATATTTTCCATCTGAGTGGGTCTGTTTTCTTTGTTTACAGAGTCCTTCAATTCTGTGTTTTAATGTAACAGAAACTGCAAACTTGGGTCACTTGATAAGAACATGCAACCTCCATGACCACTCATTCATTCAAGTCCAGGACAGGGGACAGGAGGACTCAAATGCAGATTCCACGAACAAAACTACTATATTAATGCAGAAATCGAAAATCCTTGGGGTGTAAACAAAACCTCACCGACATAAACACGAATCTCAACACCGACATGGGAAACTCAATGAACCGCCGAGAGAAGGAACACACATGGTTTAAAAACATTGGGAAACAGACAATCGCCTAGAGGAGAAAACACTAGGGCAGGAAGTGAAGTTAACTCAGGGACGCGATAGGCAGGAAACATGAAAGATTATATCTCCAGCTGATTTTCCGACTCCCAAACAATTATCATTTGCCTGCCTTGTTTAAAATTCTAGTACTAAACATATGATTTTAAATGTCCTATTCGTTGAACAAATATGAGATATGTACTCAAAAAGGAAAAACTAAACAGGATATGTAGGACGATTGACGTACCTCTGGTGGAATGTTTCCCACCCGGTAGGAGATGTATACACAGGAGGCCGAGCTGTAAGAGATGGACACCACAGTCAGGTGGGCGGCGCAAGTCCCGAAAGCTTTCAGCCTCTGAACTACTCCCATCCTTAATATGGAAACCCCAATCAGGATATAGGAAGTGAGGATGAAGACTCCTGTTGTCAAAAGTGCCACCATGGCAAAGGAAAGTGAAATAATGTTATCTACTGTAACGTCCCCGCACACTAGCCGCCTAACAGATGATGGGTCGCACCAGCCATGTTTAACCACATTAGGGCCGCAGTAAAATTGCCGGAAGGCTATGGAGGTGGCCGGCAGTGTGCAGAGGGTACCGAAGCTCCAGGCTCCTGCGACAAGGAGCACCCGGGCGGGCATGGTCATGATGGATGCGTAGCGCAGAGGGTTGCAGATTGCCACATAGCGGTCATACGCCATGACAGTCAGGATGGCCCGACCAGTTACAGCCAGCTGGATAAAAACAAACATCTGGAGGAAGCAGCCCGGCACAGAAATAGTTTTCATGCCAACCAGGAGGCCAGACAGCATGCTGGGGATGGTAATGGTGGTGTAGATGATGTCCACAAAGGAGAGGTTGTAGAGGAAAAAATACATGGGAGAGTTGAGCTTGGAATCAGTTAACGCCTGCGTGAGAAGAAAACGTCTTCAGCAAATACAATATTGATAGAGAATACATCTTTGTCAGAAAGAGGGATTACCCTTTAAATTGGCATGACTAGAAAGAGTGAGAAAGAAGAGAGTTTTTTACCACAAAGATAATCATACTGTTTCCTCCCAGGATAATCATGTAACCCAGGAGGAGGATGACAAAAAGCACCATCTTTTCTTTGCCAAGGCCGGCAAGGCCCTCAATGATGAAGAAAGTGACAGTATCAGGCCCCCGGGTGCCGTTAACCAAGCTAGATCTGTGATTGGTTGAAAGGGGCAGGTATAAATCTAGAAGAGTGAGGAAAGATAAGCATTTGTGTTTATTTACTGAGAGTAACAACAACATTTAATCTAAAGCACCGCCATTGCATAAATTTAATGTTTATTATTTTTGTGCTTCACAAACCTAACTTCACCAAGTCTAGGACTCGTCAACATCATCGTCATCTAACTTCAAAAGCAGTTATCAACTAACAACTAAGTAGTAATAAACATGACTCTACAAAGGGTTCTAGAATTGGACTGTACAAGAAATGCTCCGCCTTTTTAGTTTTGTTCTATTGCTGCTATTGGCTTGTTAATTTGGATACATGGGCAAGCACTTTATATTAAGGAATTCCAAACCGGCATGCAGTAGGGGAAAAGTGCATTCTTTATGAGGCAGAGGTCTGCAAAGTCCTTTAAAACTATCAAAACTAAAAAGATAGCCCCTTTGAGCTATCTGGTAATAGTGGAGATCATAGCAAGCATGTAGTTTTATATCTCAGTTATTAGGCACGGTTCTATATTTATTTAGCTATAAATAGCGGAGCCATCATCTATGGTTAGATATTTTTAATTGATCCCTGACGAACCATAATGTTGCAGTTAAGTTGGGCTAATTAGCAATACTTAAACTTCCTGCCTCTTGTTGCTTAGTTGTAATAGCAACTATCTAAAGACAGATAGTGGATAAAGACAGGAGCTTTCATAACTTCATGGTTCGCTTAATCAAAAGCATTCTTTAATGAAACCCAGACTCGGATAAGCAGCAGAAAATAGAAGCTACTTCATATTTCTTTTGCATTACGTTTAAAAGAGAAAAATGTACCTTTAATAACACTACATTTATCAGAAATCTTTTTTTAACACAGAAAACCAAGAGTGTTTCTATGTCAATAAGGGTTTCATTACCAAGAAAAAACTTGTATAAAGTAGGAAATGTTAGTTATTTTAACTCCACCTCTGATAGCTACAACGATAAAAGCAATTTTATTTAACTAATATTCAGATAATTTAACTCATAAGGCATTAATATTAATGGTGAAAGGGATTGTTCTGCTGCCAAATTTGCATTTAATACAACTTAGAAGTCATTAAGAGGTTTTTATTACTGTATCATTAAGTTAAAATTCCAAACACTTTTAAAAACACTACAGGCATGAAGTTAACTTAACATTAGCAGAGATAAACAGCAAAGGCATTGTCTTTTCTGAATTAGACAGGAAAATTAATATATATAAAATAGTGAAACCAATTGTTCTTAAAGTAATTATATTCTTTCCTATGTGCCAAGGCAAGAAACACTGTGAAAACATTTTGGAAATAATATCACACTCTGTCCTAATACTATAATTGCATACATCAAAACAGATTTTTTTTTCACTGTAAAGAGTCTAATAATACATAAATCCTAACATTACGAACCGCATGAAGCTTCCACTTCAGAATGACTTATTATATATAAGAAGAAAAAACAGAAATGCAGTTTACAGTTCAACATTCAGGAATCAGAGTAGTTTTTTCAAGTGTTCACGCAAACGGATTACATTTTATAAATTCAGCACTGAGAAAAACGCGGACTTAAAGAAGAAGGAGAAATGTTTTTTTCTTAAGTCACTGACCTTGAAACACTATTTTTTCATGAAAAACTAAGTTTAGACTGTGAACTTGTGTAACGTCATCGTTATACACGTTTCTTATTTATAATATTATCTCTTTTCTCCTGCTTACAACTAAATATAGTTTTAATACTGTCATACTGACATATTCATCATTTGTAAAACTGTATTTCGTTTTACTAGACATCATCATAACATTAAGTGACAGACCTCTGAGGCTTTCAGGTGAAGAATCAAATGTAAAAAGCTCCATCTCTCATCAGCAGACAGATGAATAGACGGGTGGATGTGAAAGATTTGCTGTCAACAGATAGGTAAAGAATAATTTCAATGCAAAAATGTGACTTCATCAAAACACAAGCTCATTTTGACATCAGAAAGGACAATAGTCATATGGAAATGCTCTTAAAAATGCAACACTATCAGTCACACTATCACTATCCTCAGATTGACAAGTACATAAATCAGGACATGGTTAAACATTAAGATATCATCATCTTACCTGAATGTGTGATTTAGACTGTGCTGCTCAGTCAGGTCTCGTCAGAAACAAGAACTTCATCACATCCACATTTTGCCTTTTCAAGGGCAAATTACCTTTTTACTGATTATAATGAGGACTTTGGGAAGAACAAACAATTTTAATTGCTCAAAGAGAGATCGGAGACCTTTCATTAAAAACATCAATTATACAAAAGAAAGCCAGAGAATACCAAAGGGACCCATTTTAAGTAACCTCAGTGGTTCTAAACAAGCACCTGAAAAGACAACACAAGAAACATAATTGTGCATGTTGTCGTGGTAACAGCTGTCTGCTTCCAATGTTTAACCCGTTGACTAGAGTTGCATTGTTAAAGCTGGTACTTTACTTTAATGACTGAATTCTTTGTGTTTGCAAGTAATTATGATTAGTCTTCCTGTTGTTCATTCTTTGAGCAAAAGTTGGATAGTGTCAGTTATTCTGAGTCACCAGAATTAAATAGCAATATTAGAGCAAAATGAATGTATTCATATGTTTAAAAAACAAACAACAGAAATATTTAAACTTTTGGGTTCAAGTATTGCCGGGATGATGGTGTTGAACGCCAAGGTGAAGTAATCCGAACATGACCCATGCATTTTTCCCTGGTGAGTCGAGGTGATTTGAAATGTAATGCAGTCTTGACTGCACACACACGTCGTCAAAAAAAAAACATGTTTTATGTCAGAGTGTCAATTACCTCATCAAAACCTGTAGCAGCAGTTTTAAAACACCCCAGTCAGTGCAGTCAAAGCAGGACTTTAATTCCTTTCGCAGATTTTAATTTTAACCTGGGTGTCTCCATCGATAACCGACTGAACTGGAAGGCCAACATCAACGCTGTGTACAAGAAGGGGACAAGTCAACTCTTTTTCTTGAGGAAACTTGGATCCTTCAATGTGTGCAGCAAGATGTTGGAGATGTTGTAGTAGCCTGTTGTGGCCAGTGCTCTGTATTTCGTGATTGTCTGCTGGGGGAGCAGCATTGGAGCCACTGACTCCAACAGACTTAAGAAGCTGGTGAAGAAGGCCAGCTCCATTATTGGCTGCCAACAGCAGCATCCAGAAAGTGGTGGAGAGGAGGACAATGAAAAGACTATTGTCCATATTGTACAACCCGGACCACCCTCTTCACCACCTACTGCAGGAACAGTGGAGCACCTTCTCAAACAGGATGATCCAGGTGTGCTGTCAAGAGGACAGATACAGGAAAACATTCCTGCCAAATGCAAAAAGACTGTACAACATATCATCTCTAGCTAAATCCTCTAATTTTATCAACAACCACTGCGTTGCTGTCTTAGTTCAATTTTCTAACTTAACTTTAGATCTATTGCAACCAACTGTACATGCTTCTATCTCACGTTAGTGTAATGTAATATGTTCTGTTCTGCTATTTTATTGTATTGTGTAAATATATATATATTTTTTTAAGTTACTGTATTAGTGCTGCTACACACAAATTTCCCTCTGGGAATTAATAAAGTATCTATCTATCCATCTATTTCTGCTTCTAGGTTGGGATGTGTTTTAGCGTCTCTCTCACTTCCTGCTCATTTCCTCCGTCGGAATATCCGGCAAACCCAAGAAGCGCTGCTACACCTCCAACCAAAAACTCTCTAAAACGGAAAAGTTTGACCAGTGTATTCACCCATTTTTAAAAGTTCCGCATTGCTGAATGTGATCAGAGGAAGAGTTGTAGAGGAAAAAAAAGAAAAAACAGAAAAAGTACTGAAGAACGCAGAAACAGAAAAGGCCATCTACAAATGCAAATCGTTTTTTAAGGGGGCACAACCAAAAAAAGGTTGTGAGCCCCGAGGTTTGACAATGTAATAATATTTTGACTCTACAATTCTTGTTTAACGGATGCCAAATTATTTAGATTTAAATTAAATTTGTAAAGCTGTTGATATATCTGTGATAGAAATGTGGTGGAGTAGAAACATGAAATGTAATAAATGTAAAGACCCAGTTAAAGACCAAATACCTCCCAGTTTAAATAAAGTCTGTCCCTTTAATAGGCACACTTTGTTTGATTCCGGTCATGAGTAACTGCCGGTTTAAGTTGATGTTGTCGAGGGTGACGCATAGGATACTCTATGAAGAACTAAAACAAACATGTATTTTATTACAATGATATGAACAAATGTGATTAATAACAGTTGGCTTTTAAATAACGGTTATTCAAAGAGGTTATTAACTGCTTAAATGTTAACCTTTAATGTAACTTAAACATCCGATAATTTCTGATTATGTTTTTGTGCATGACAAAAAGTCTTCTCTATTCACATCTGGCAGTTTTTCTCTCTTAGTCAGGACAATTTGGTCACCGTGTTGACGTCTTTGGTTGGTAACACAACAGCAGGTCTTAACCTCATTAGAGTTCTCCCAATGGACTCTCGTAGCTCCTTGTTCTTCAGACTGTAGATCATCGGGTTTAGGAAAGGAGTCAGAGCGGCGTACAACACTGACACGATGATTCGAACCTATGACAGAGTTATAAATCATGATTTTGCTTAGAATAATAATAATGATGCATTTTACTTGTGACAAACATTTCATTGAAACGAATCTCAGAGTGCCACAGAGCGGATAATAAAAACACTGTTAAAACATCGTTGAAACAATTTTAAAACTAGTAAAGACATAGTATAAACTTGGCTAAAAAATGGCTTCCTGAATGAAAAGGTATTTTATATGGTCAGGTGAGGGTCAAAACTGTGTGTGACTCCATGTCTTTATCTTTCCCAAGACCGGTGGCGAGACATGACATGGCTTCAGAGGGACTTGGGGCAGTTTTTAAGTAGAGCTGCGTATTGTTTGCATAACAGTGGATGGACATCCTGTGGATGACATTGCCAAGGGGGGACATGTCAATAATGAGGATGGGGCTAAGGTCTGACCCTTGTGGAACAGCACAGGAGACAGGAAACAGTCTGGACTTGCATCTTAGTGAGAAATATTCAATTCTGACAGAAAGGTAGGTCTGAAACAACTTGAGTGGAGAGGTGTAGTCGAGTTACTCTAACAGGATAGTGTCATCCACTGTATCAAATGTAACAGTCAGGTCCAGGAGAATGAGGAGTGAGGGTGATCCAGCACTGGCCGTCAACAGGTAACAGTCACCCTGAGCAAAGCTGTTTTGGTGCTGTGGGCTGAACAAAATCCTGAAAAAGTTCATTCACAAGTTGTTGTGTTTGTGGTGGTCCTGAAGTTGAGAAGCAACCACCATCTTTAGCACCATGGATAGGAAGAAAAGTTTGGAGATAGGCCTGTAGTTGGCTAGAACCTCCGGGTCCAGAATGGGCTTCATGAGAGGGACGGATGACAGCAACCTTGAGAGGTTGGAGTAGGCCCATTGATGCTCATAGAAAGAAATCCTTTAAAAATCATCCTAATTGGAAAATGAATGATGAACCACATTTCATTGCAATCAACCCACAAGTTCTTTGGATATTTCCATCAGGAAAAAAGGCCTGAACCGATTGACATTTGGATATTTCAATCCATCTCATATCTCCCATCTGTGTGGATGGTCTTTTCTCTGTTTACAGAGTCCTTCAATGTAACAAACTGTGGTTTAATGTTACAGAAACTTAAGTCACATGACAAGAACATGGCTGGATTTGAATTGTCAAAAGAATTACCTCCCAATGTCTATTCCTAACCACTATTCCTTGGTCTTTGTGGAAAACGTTATGGGGTAAAGGAAAGATGATTAGGATACTTCATGAAGATTTAGGAAAAGAAATAGGGAATCCAACTCCACTTTCACTAAGCTACGTGATGCAACGGCCAAATAATACGTCACTATTTAAATATTTCGGTCGCGAGGAATTGTGGGACGGAATTATCTCCCTTCCTTTTGTAAAAGGATGCTGCAGTGGTTGCAATGCTAAATGAGTTAAGTACTGAAGCATTGAAGCTCTTTTCCTTAGCCTTTAAAGCAGGGGTCTCAAACTTGCGGGCCAATTGCGGCCCCCAGGACGATATTTTGTGGCCCCCACCTTAATATGAAAGTTTAATGTTAGTGCGGCCCGCAAGTTTTATATTGTAGCAACCCCGTTGTTAGCTGCTGTGTGGGAAATGTTATGATGTTCTGGTTTCCTACTATGTGGATGTCCAGTGAATGCGGCATGCATGTGAGTGACATGGGGGGCGGGGTCGTGTGTGTGTTTGTGTGCGTGGGAGAGTGAGAGAGCCGGGAGAGAAAAGAGTGGCTTTGCATGTGCGCAGAGCAGGAGGGTGAAATTCATACTTTTCCGCCCTCTTTTGCGCAGGTCATGATGTATCCAGTGCTTCATTTGTAAATCAGTACACACATGCCACTTACAACCTCCACCTCCACCACCACCCCCGTCAACCGTACCGTCTGTCGGTCGGACCGTCAGCGCCACCCCCTCCGCCACCCCCGTCGACCGCACCGTTCGCCGGACGGACCGTCAGCGCCACCCCCCCCGTCGGCCGTAATGGTTTGGCCTGCGTTCGGTCGAGCTGGGCTGCATCTGGGCCGCACCTGAATTGAGTTTGAGACCCCTGATTTAGAGAATTCAAACTGCTCTTATCATGGTAGACTACTTCCAGGTCATTTCACTTGGTTAGAAACCTTCCCAACCAAATTTGACAATTTGAGGGCCATCAATAACTCTTTGCCAACTCAGTAATCTGCTGAGCGAGACCACAAGTTGAGACCACAATTGAGTTTCCCAAGCAAACAGTCAACCTTTGCCTGTCTGGTTTAAAATACTAGTACTAAAAATATCATCTTCGGTTTCCTATTCGTTGAACAAATATGAGACATGTACTGAGACAAAGGAAATGCTACATTTTCAGTCAGGATTGACGTACCTCTGGTGGAATGTTTCCCACCCGGTAGGAGATGTATACACAGGAGGCCGAGCTGTAAGAGATGGACACCACAGTCAGGTGGGCGGCACAAGTCCGAAAGGCCTTCAGCCTCTGAACTACTCCCATCCTTAATATGGAAACCCCAATCAGGATATAGGAAGTGAGGATGAAGACTCCTGTGACCAAAAGTGCCACCATGGCACAGGACAGTGAAATAATGTTATCTACTGTAACGTCTCCGCACACTAGCCGCCTAACAGATGATGGGTCGCACCAGCCATGTTTAACCAAATTAGGGCCGCAGTAAGACCGCTGAAAAGCTACGGAGGTGGCCGGCAGCGTGCAGAGGGTACCGAAGCTCCAGGCTCCTGCGACAAGGAGCACCCGGGCGGACTTGGTCATGATGGAGGTGTAGCGCAGAGGGTTGCAGATGGCCACGTAGCGGTCGTACGCCATGACAGTGAGGATGGCCCGACCAGTTACAGCCAACTGGATAAAAACATGCATCTGGAGGAAGCAGCCCAGGACAGAAATAGTTTTCATGCCAGCCAAGAGGCCAGACAGCATAGTGGGGATGGTAGAGGTGGTGTAGATGATGTCCACAAAGGAGAGGTTGTAGAGGAAAAAATACATGGGAGATTTGAGCTTGGAATCAGTTAACGCCTGCGTGAGAAAAAAAACAGCAATTACAATACTGGTAATTTCGTCTACCAATACCCATCAAATTGGCATGACTAGAAAGAGCGCATTATTTTTTTTTACCACAAAGATAATCATACTGTTTCCTCCCAGGATAATCATGTAACCCAGAAGGAGGATGACAAAAAGCACCATCTTTTCTTTGCCAAGATCGGCAAGGCCCTCAATGATGAAGAAAGTTATGGCATCAGGCCTCCGGGTGCTGTTAACCAAGCTTGATCTGTGATTGGTTGAAAGGGGCAGGTATGAATCTAGAAGAGTGAGGAAAGAGAAGCATTCGTGTTTATTTACTGAGAGTAAATCAGAAGAAAGTTGGGTTGTTACTATACTGTTCAATGGTTTAATATTGAAAAAGTAATCATTGAAACCGGACAAAAACATTTAATCTAAAGCACCACCATTCCACAAATTTAGTGTTAATTATTTTTGTGTTTCCCAAACCTAACCAAGTCTAGGACTCGCCCACCGTCATCGACATCTAACTTCAAGAGCAGTTATTACAACAGTTATTTGTTACAACAAAGTAGTAATAAACACAGTTCTAGAAAGGGTTCCGGATCCGGCCTGTCCCTGTTCTTCCTCCTTTTCCTGATTCCCGGTAGAACTAACTACTAATCCTGACTCCTATGGGCTCCGCTTGCTGTTATGAGGGTTGGTAAACAAAGACCAAACGTCCCTGGATTACTGTGCGTTGCATTTGTGTGCATATACACCCTTTACAGCATAATCTGGCAAGTTGTGGCCCTTTCACACAACCCTGCACCAGTGAGCCATCTCGAAAGGATCAAGGGGGCTCTCCAGCAGCATGAGGCGCTGATGACCAACATTGCAGAGACACATTAGTCTGCTGGGATCAAAGGAGCAGGCCACGTTAAGGGGCCAGGAAAATCTTTGCCTGTACTTTGGCCAGGCTGGTCACTTTATTTTCTGACACCCAACAAAGAGGCACCGCTCATCAGTAGCAGGGGAGGTACAGGTGAGCCGAACCACAAGACTCTCTGCCAACAAAAGACGCCATTGCCACGTTCAGTTTCTTATCGCGAACGGATCCCAGACCCTTACTACATATTGACTGGCACCGCAAAAAGGATTGATGGTGACCTAGTCCGTCGGCTGGGCATTGACTGGGTACCCCTGCCATGCCCAGTTCATGCCAGTACCCCTCATCTACTGGGGAGAGTGACTCTTCAAACCAAGCCAGTCTGAATGCTCCTGTCTAGTAACCACCATGAGACCATTCAGTTTTTAAATTCTACGGTCACCCCAGCATCCATTATTCCTGGGGCCCTCACCCGTCTATGTGAGAACCCGTCTATGTGAGAACCCTCACATAGACGGGTTCTCACGAGCTATCCTGCGATGGAGCTCATCCTGTCACCTGATTTTTTCCTGAAATAAACTGCTGAACTACACCCTCCTACATTGAACTACACCTACCCATTAGCCTAAACTTCCTTCATCTGTTCCGTCATCTATCTCTGATCACTAATAAAGCCACTATATAGACTCCCTCCCAACCAGACACACACTGCCAGATTGTTTTGAGATTTTCCAATCAAGACTCCAGCACTCTCTAACAGACTGATTCCCAGTTAGCAACTGGTTTGTATCGTTTTTTCCCGCTTTGCCTGACTCCCGGTAAAACTACTCGTCTTCTGATTCTTACTGACTAACTCTGCCTTAGTCTGCTTTTCTGAAGGTTTGTAAATAAAAGCCAAAGGTCTCTTGAGTCTTGAAGTGTTGCATTTTGGTCCATATACAATCCGTCACATGGGTTGTTTTCCTTTAAAAAAAAAATCTGGTTGGTCTGTATCTGTGGGGTCCAATGTAAAGAACATAAATAGCGCTTTGTTTGAGTTCAGGTGAGCGTTGATCCCTGAGGAACCCTAATGTTCCAGTTACGGTGGGATGACAAATATTTACACTTACTGCAACTATTTACAGGCATTAGTGGATACATTAAAAGACAGGAACTCAGGGTTCGCTTAATCAAAAGCTTTCTTTACTAAAACCCAGCCTCAGATAAGCGGCAAAGAATTGATGGATTGTTTTACTTTTACTGACTATTTAATGCTACTTCATACTTCTATTGCACTAGATTTAAAATGGAAAAATGCAGTTTTAATACCAATTAATTTGTCATAAAGCTTTATTCAAAGAAAACCAAGGAAGTTTCTATATTGATAAGGATGTTATTACCAAGAGGTAACTTGAACAATGTAGGAAATGTTACATATTTTGACTCCACCTCTCCACCATTAGCATTACACTGAGGGTTCGTTCCGCTGCCAAATTTGCTTTTAATACAACAAATCTAATTTAGATACTGTAGGTACTTACAGGTGATTAAAAGGTTTTACTGCATTATCTTACTGAAGTAAAAAATCTAAACACTTAATTCAACCCCTGCAGGAATGAAGTTGATCAGCAAAATGTTGCCTTTCCAAATTACACAAGACAATTAATAAAATGTAAAATTGTGTGAATAATTTATCTAAATGTCGAAGTAATTATATTTTTAATGTCCCAAGGTCAAGAAACACTTATATGAAAACATAAACTTAATGTGGAAATAATATATTTGAAGGATAGGTTCACACTTGATTCTTGAATGATTCTTTCTAATAATACTTGAAAAGATTCAAACATTACAAGCCAAATGTTCAACATGAAGCTTCCACTTCAAAATGACTTATTAACTATTTAAAAACACAAATGCAGTCTACAGTTCAACATTGTGCAATCAGAGTAGTCAAGTGATTAAGAAAATTAATTAAATGTAATAAATGCAGCACTGAGAAAAACGGGCACCTAAAGAAGCAGTAGATATGTCATTGTCTTAAGTCGTTTACGCTGAAACACTTGAATGTTTTCAGGTGAGTGTTTTGAAGAAAAACTAAGTTTAGACAGAATTCATGTTTCATCTCATGTTTCTTATTCATAATAACATCTCTGTTCTCCTGCTTACAACTAAATATAGTTCTAATGCTGATATATACATGATAAATTAAACAGGTACAAATTTGGTTTTACTAGACATCATCAAAACATTAAGTCACAGACCTCTGAGGCTTTCAGGTGAAATATCAAACGTCAAAAGCTCCATCTCTCATCAGCAGACAGATGAATAGACGACTTGATGTGGAAAGATTTGCTGTCAACAGACAGGTAAAGAATATTTTCAATTAAAAAATCTGACTTCATTAGAACACAAGCTCATTTCGAGATTATAAAGAGAAGTAAGATAGCGGTCACACTTTCAGAGGTCATAACACCACTTCTTCAGGTTAAGAAGTACAAAAACGAAGACATGGTTCTTAAACATTAAGATATCATGGTCTTACCTCAAAGTATGATTCAGACTGTGCTGCTCAGTCAGGTCTCGTCAGAAACAAGAACTTTATCACGTCCACATTTTGCCTTTTTAAAAGCAAGTGATCTTTTTCCTGATTATTATGAGAATTATGGTGTGAGCAAACAACTTTAATTGCACAAAGTGAAATCAGACACCTTTAATTTAAAACGTCAATTATACAAAAGAAAGCCCGAGAATACCAAAGGGACCCATTTTAAGTAACCTCTGTGGTTCTAAACAAGCACCTGAAAAGACAACACAAGAAACATAATTGTGCTTGTTGTCGTGGCAACAGCTGTCTGCTTCCAATGCTTACTCCATTAATTAGAGATTCATCATTAAAGCTTGTACTTTAATTGCTTATATGTGTGTCTGTATGTTTGAGTAATTGTGATTAGTTGTTCCTGCTGTTTATTCTTTCAGCAGAAGTTGGATAGTACAGGTAACAACACTTACTGTACAAATTAATTAGCAGCAAAAATTAATGTATTTATACGTTTAAAAAAAATCAACAACAAACATATTAAGACGTTTGAGTCTAGGTATCGCCGGGATAATGGTGTTGAATACCAGTCACACAACCTGTGCATTTTTTCCCTGGTAAGTTGAGTCCCATGTTGGCTCCACTGTTCCACTGTGTATATATATATATATATATATATATATATATATATATATATATATATATATATATATATATATAGTATATTATTTTGAAAATATATTTTAATTTAATGGTTTCGTTGTTGTTTTTATTCTTGTATATTCTGTTTTTTAAAATCCTATATGCTGTCTAAGTACATTAATAGCACATGAATCTGGAGTTCATCAAACACGGGTCATCAGGGTTGTTGCCAGAGCCACCTGGTCCTCCTGTAAAAACAGTGAGAGCCGTTCTACATTTTCGGCATCAACAGGTTCACGTGGATGATGACCTCCCCTAGGTTTGTTCCCCGTCACTGATTGTTTTTTTATGGTAATCTCAGAATTATGCAGACAAAATGGCTCTGTTGGCTCCTTTAGACTGGGACCTTCACTGAGGGTAAAATGGAGTCTAAGAGGGACTGGTGGCTTAGTGCGGCTCAACAGTGATGAGACTATCATACCGGACTGTTGTAGTGAAAAGGGGGCTCCCAATTATCCAGGCCATCTATCTATGTTCACATCCTAAACTACATCTTATCTTTGAATAGTGGCCGAAAACAATACTAATCAGGTCAATCATTTCAGAAATCACCAACAATTATAATAAAATATTTAGCCTACTTTCTTAAACACAAAAAGAAGGAAATATTTAATTTTGGAGACAGTGAGAGACAACTCTACTATTAACTTTAAGAGGAAACCCATCCTCAACACGGATTTGTATTCTATAGATTTATCAGATTTAAGTATTTTCATCGAAATATAGAATATAGGGTAATAAAGTAATAACTCAGTACTCAACCAATCCCTCAAAAGTGTACTAATGCATCTGTAATACTCACTCTAGCTTATCCTTTCCTGTTGTTGAATAATGTTCAAAACATAATGGCACATAAAAAATGTAACAAATCATTTTTCATATTTTTTATTAATATAATAAGTCACTGTTGATTAACATAAGTAGTTAAAAGAATAATAAATAGTTTTATATGTCCCTTTAATGCAAAAATAACGTAATAAGTTAGTTAATGAATATGCCGTTGATCAAAAAAGTAACATGATTGGTACAGTAAATAGCAAAGTAGTTTAAAAATATCTGAAAATGGCTGATTACATTTTTGTGTGAGACAGTCTTCTTCCTTTACATCCAGCAGGTTTTGTCTCCCAGTCAGGACGATGTAGTCACCGTATTGACGTCTTTGTTTGGTAACACAGCAGCAGGTCTGAACCTCATCAGATTTCTCCCAATGGACTCTCGTAGCTCCTTGTTCTTCAGACTGTAGATCATCGGGTTTAGGAAAGGAGTCAGAGCAGCGTACAACACTGACACGATGATACGAACCTATAACAAAGTTATGAATCATGATTTGGTGAACACACCACGTATTTGCAATTTCATTCTGCAGGTCTTGAGGAGGAAGAGGTTTGTCAGTCAGTCAATACACTAAGCAGGTATAATGTTCACCATTGTCGACAATAGTAGTCTTTCTTTTATTTTCAGCAGAATTTAAAAATTCTGATGATTCCATTAAACAAAAGGAAAATTATTACAAAAGTTATCATCCTAAAGGTCATTGTAAATGACCAAACCAAATTTCACAACAATATATACTATACATTGCTTTAGATATTTCAGCGTGGACCAAAGTGGTGGCGTAATCAACAGATGGACATTTCCCTTTCTAGACCCAAGTTGTTGTTTTGGTAAATTGGAAGCGTAAATACTCTTAATCAGCATTTCATATCATTGGGCATGCTATTTGAAGGGCAAACACAAATACCAATAGCCCCAAATCCTCCTGACTCCAAACAAACAGGTGCAAACAGGTGCTTTTAATTTTAGGAATATTGTCAAATCTACCTCTCTTCCTCCTATTTTATACCTTCTAGAAAGTCAATGTATATAATTTACCTATGTTTTGCACAGATGCAAGTGTACATCCGTCTCCAAAGACCATTCAATGGAATATAGAATACTTAATTATGCATTTAAAAAAGTTGTACCTTTAATAGCAAGTGTGATTCAAGGTGCCATAAATGTTTTTCAGGGGATATTGTGTTAATTGAAAATCGTCCTAAATTTGATGTTTTGAAGACAGCTGATGGTTCAAATCAGATTGGTGATTCAGATTGTTACTGTAAATAAGATGTTTTAAACTTGTTTTCAGTTGTAAGTTTGGTAAATTGAACTTGTGTTTAGCTTTTGTTCCTAGTGTGAGAAAGTAACTTTTGAATGTCTTGATATAAATGCTAGTTTACCTTGCTTGGTGAAAATATATGAGCTGTACTAAGACAAAGGCAAAGCTAAATATTCACGATATGATTGACATCGTACCTCTGGTGGAAAGTTTCCCACCCGGTAGGAGATATATACGCACGAGGCTGAGCTGTAGGAGATGGACACCACAGTCAGGTGGGCGGCGCAAGTCCCAAAGGCCTTC